AGAAGCAGATATGCCATTTTCAATGAGAATGTGATGTACAAAGACATGTCAACCATATAATCAAGTAGCTCCAACACCGAAGCTGAAACAAAGGAATTTGTTGAGTTTGAGGAGATTTTTGGAAATGATGTTCAGATCAGTCCTGAAGCAGTTCAAGAAGAACAAGACACACCAAAACTGAGACGCTCTTCCAGAATTCCTAAACCAACCCCAATCCTGAAGCAATTCAAGAAGAACAAGGCACACCAGAGTGCTATGATGAAGCAATGCAAGTGGAGGATTCAGTCAAGTGAGAGTCTTCTATGAAAGATGAGATGGATTCGCTTATGTCAAATCAGACGTGAGAATTAGCTGAATTATCACCACGCAAGAAAACGCTCCATAACAAGTGGATTTACAGGATCAAAGAAGAGCACGATGGGAGAAAACGCTATAAAGCAAGATTGGTTGTCAAAGGTTTTCAGTAAAAAGAAGGTATTGACTACAATGAAATTTTCTCTCCATTCGTGAAGCTGTCTACAATCAGACTGGTGTTGAAAATTGTAGCTACAGAAAATCTACATCTCGAGCAGTTAGATGTAAAGACAGCTTTCCTTCATGGTGATTTGGAGGAAGAAATCTATATGAGGCAGCCAGAAGGCTTCATAGAGGTAGACAAGAAAAACCTGGTATGCAGGTTGAAGAAGAGCTTGTATGGTTTAAAACAAGCTTCTAGACAGTGGTATAAAAAGTTTGATAGTTTCATGAGTAGCAGTGGTTTTACCATATGACAAGCAGATCATTGCTACTACATCAAGAAGTTCGACAACAACTTCATTATTTTATTGTTGTACATTGATGACATGCTCGTTGCAGGTTCAGACATGCAAGAGATTATAAACTTGAAGCAAAAATTGTTGAAACAGTTTGCAATGAAAGATCTAGGCGCTGCAAAGCAGATTCTTGGGATGAGGATTAAGAGAGACACAAAGTTGGGGACTCTAATGTTATCACAGGCTGAGTACATCAACAAAGTACGCTCAAGGTTCAACATGCAAGATGCTAAACCAGTAAGTACACCTTTAGGTGTTCATTTTAGACTCTACAAAGAACAATCACCAAAAACAGAGGAAGAACATGCACACATGGTGAAGGTGTCATATGCCTCAGCAATTGGAAGTCTGATGTATACCATGGTTTGTACCAGACCAGATATTTCTCATGCAGTGGGAGCTGTTAGCAGGTACATGAATAATCCGGGCAAGGTACACTGGGAAGCAGACAAATGGATCCTTAGATATCTGCTGGGTACCATAAACAAAGCACTTTGTTTCAAAGGTGGAGATACAATACTGACAAGCTATGTAGATGCTGACTTAGCCGGAAATGTTGACATCAGAATGAGCACTACAGGGTATGTCTATACTCTAGGAGGTACTGCAGTGAGTTGGGTTTTTTAACTACAGAAGAAGTTTCTCTCTCCACAACTAAAGCTGAATATGTCATTGTTACGGAAGTCGGCAAGGAGATGGTCTGGCTCCAAAGTTTCTTGGAAGAGTTAGGCAAGAAACAAGAAAACAATGTCTTGAATTGCGACAGTCAAAGTGTTATCCATCTAACAAAGAATCCGTCTTTTCATTCCAGGATGCAGCACATACAATTGTGATATCATTTTATCCGGTCTCTTCTGGAAGATAGGATTTTGAAACTTGAAAAGATTAGTGGAGTTCAAAATCCGACAACATGTTGACAAAGACGGTGACCATAGACAAATTGAAGTTGTGTTCAGCTTCAGTTGACATGCTAGAATAACAAGACTAGAAATGCTGCTGTACTGATCGAGGTGTGAAGACAGATTAAAATCAGTCTTCAAGTGGGAGATTGTTGAAAGTCAATTAAAAAAAGGAGATTTGCAAGTGGGGCAGCTGAACTAAATCATCATGGGCGGTTAGATAATTCAACAAAAATTAGGTTGCCTAATTTTGTTGAATTTGGTAATAGGGTTAATTACACTTTAGTCCCTACACACTTTAAGATATTTACAAGATTAGGCTTTAAGCTTCAACTATAAATACCATAACCCATTTAGCTTCAAAATCATCACAAATCATTTCTTTCTCCCTATACTAAAGAGCTTTCTTGTGAGTAGTGAATGTTTTGTAAACACATGTAAATTTTCTCTCTTAGTAAAAGATCTGCAGCAGTCCGGAGACGTATGCATAATTGACTGAACTCTGTTATCAATTTCGGGTATTATTTTTCCGCTTTTATTTTGCATTCCCACTAATCTGGTTATAGGGAAATAACTCGATCTCATTTTATTTCCCAACAATCCGAGAAAGCATAAGAACGCAAGGGGCCGAGATTGGGTGCCCAAACATCATCCCAGAAATGAACTAAGGAACCATTTCCTACTGACCAACTTAGACATTGCAAGAGTTAAGTCCAAATGCTTGAGAGGCCACGCCACAGGGGTGAGAAGATTGGTCGATGTATGGACATTGGACATGTTTTAGAAATTTTGTTCTTGTGTCGTCGTAATACCTGAACCCAAAGTGAGTCGTTTTTGTGAGGATGGTATATCGTAGTTTCATCATGAAATTCATGTTGTGGTTGCAGATACGAGGCATTCCAAGGCCACCCCGATCTTTCAGCAAGTGAGGGTGTCCCAATTAATGAAGGGAATTTTGTTGGTTGTGGCGGAGTAGCCCTAAATGAATTTTTGAATACATTTTTCGATTTCATCACAGATGTGCCTGGGAAGAACCATAGTTTGCATAAAGTATATTGGGATTGCACAGAGAACAGATTTGGCAAGGGAGATCCGACCAACCATCGAAAGAGTTTGAGCAGACCAGCCAAAAAGTTTGTTGTTGATCATGTCCACTATGAAGGAGAAGTCGGAGGATAAGGGGTGCTTGTGAAAGACGGGGACTACAAGATACTTGCCGAAGGAATTAACTGAGCGAAACCAAGTCTTGACATAATTTTTTATTGCAATGTAGGGTCGGTATTAGGCGAGAAATATATCAGAGTTTTGGCTTTACTGACCTTGTAACCAGAGAAGTAGTCGAAGTCTGAGAGAATTGTGTCAATGACTATCTTGCGAGCTATTCGCTTTTACATAGAGCACAAGGTCGTTTGCAAAAAAAGAGGTGGGAGACATATAGCCTTGCCTACGGAAACGGAATGGTTACCAGAGGTTGTCATGGATAGATTTCGATATACTATGGCCGATTCGCTCCATGGCAAGGACGAATAAATAGGGTGAGAGGGGGTCACATTGGCGGACACAATAGTAGAGGAGTAAACGGCTGTGAGTACATACCATTCCATTGGATTTGCATTGAGGAGAAAGTGATACGTCGCATAACTAGCTGAGTGAAATCCATCGAGAAACCTGCATCTTCAAGAGTATCTCGAATGAAGTCCCATCGGAAAGGTCCACCTTTATCGTCATTCATCCCTGATTTGTTTTATTTACGCGCATTGAGTAGATGACTTCCTGGTTTATTATGATGTTCTCAGTGATATTACGTCCATTAATAAAACGTTTTTGGTTGGGAGAGATAATGAGCGGCATGACATGCTTGAGTCTTCTCACGATGATCTTTGTGACCAATTTATAAATAACTGTACAGAGGCTAATGGGCCGAAAATCAACAAAGGTCTCTAGTGCATCCTTTTTTGGTATAAGGACAAGGACGGTTCTGTTGATTCTTGCATCGATTTCGCCAAACTCGAAAACGGATTTGATCATACTGCAGATAGTCAGGTTGACAGTTGACCATTGGATTTGAAAAAATTCAGCATGGAGGCCATCATGGCCAAGAGCCTTTAAGGGACCCATATCAAGGAGAACCTCATTTCTTCATGGGACAGTGTTATATAAATGACAGAGCACGTCTGTGGAGATAGTCGGGAAGCAGCCAGAGAGAGGATAAACATCGATGGGTGTATAGTCAACGTCATAGAGGTTATGGAAGAAGCGGACTGCCTCTTCTCGAAGTTTATCTTCATCATGGCACCATTCTCCGTTCTGGAGTTTAAGAGCGGATATCTTTTTTCGTCATTTTCGTTGTATGGTTTTGTGGTGTTAATATTTGGTGTTACGTTCTCCTAAAATAATCCAATCTATTCAAGATCTTAGCTTCCAGAGAGTTTCCTCAAGGTTAAGGATTTGTTCAAGGTCGAGCAGAAGTTGCGATTCGAGATAGATGAGGTGGCTTGCGCGATGATTGCTTAAAGCTTTCTAAACTCCACGAACCCGAGCCATGACTATTTTCTTTTTGTGCCCAAGTAGCCGAAGACTTCTTTGTTCCATGTATCAGCAACTTTTGTGAGGTTGTCGATAGCATCTGGGAAGGGAACCGAGGATTCCCAGTTATCTTTGACCATACGGGAGTAATCGTCATGGGATAACCATCCTGATAAGTAACGGAATTGGGTGTTGCGACGAGAAGAACGAGTATTTCATACACTTAAGAGAAGAGGCCTGTGATCAGACCTCATGCGGGGAAGATGGAAAACCATGGAGTCAGAAAAAAATCATCCCAACGAGAGTTACAAATACACCTGTCAAGTCGGACTGATGTGAAACTGCGAGACCAAGCAAGGAAGCACGGGGACGGCAAACTTGTGCCGTTTCACGTACCCGATATGTCCTCGGTACGGGGACGACACGGGGACGGCTGGGGTACGTACCGGGACGTGCCACGGTGGTAGGGTACGGCTGAACGACGCCGGGGACGTTTCACCGAGTCTTGGGGACGTTTCGAGGACGGCATTTTCGATTTTTTCGACGTCGGAGGAGGTGGTGTCGAGGCTGTTGTTTGACTTGGCTACGTCTTTAGATTCTTGCCAAATCCATGCTCAGATGCGTTAGCCCCACACCGCATTCAACACCGGCCCTCTCAACTCATTCATCCCCCTTTGTATATAAGTTCTATAAGTTGAAAATCTCCATATAAACGATCCCTTTTGCACCTTGATTTTCTTCCTCCCCCTTCCCCTACTCGTTTCATTCATTGCTTTACACAGTTTACAGCCATGGTTTCTCACCTACTCAACACTATCCGTAATGTAGTTGGGGTCACAGGTATGTTGATTTACCATACAACGATGTTTCTTGAAACCCGCCTGAAAAGTAAACTAATGTGGGTTTTGTTCTACTTCTTCACAGGGAACGTTATATCACTCTTCCTCTTCTTGTCTCCTGTGTAAGCTTCGCCTGACTTTTGTTTCCCTGTGTTTAGTTGATTACATTATCTTTAATCTCCTTTTGATTGCAGGCCAACTTTTGCTCAAATTTGGAAGAAAAATTCAGTGGAGCAGTTCTCGCCAGCCCCGTATCTAGCAACCTTAATAAACTGCATGGTTTGGGTCATTTACGGGCTGCCTATGGTTCACCCCAACTTTAATATTATAATTTTATTATAGATTTTATTATTCTAAAATTAATATTATAATTTGAATATTGAAATTTGACATTTTAATATTGTTATTTGTTTATAGATTTTACTGTTAAAATTTAATATTGTTGTTTGAGTCTTGATATTTGACATTATTTATGATTTTTTATATATATTTATAATTTTAAAATTATTTTATATGTCGTACCCTTACCATCCCATATCCTATAATTTTTAAAATTACCGTTTTCCGTTCCCGTCCCTGTATCCATCCCCGTATCCGTGCAACATAGAGACCAAGTGAAGTCTGGGCTCTGGCCCCTGAAAACCCATTCCTCGTAAGGCAAAATCATAAACCAAGTGTTGGAAATCCCAGCTTGGGCGGGAGGAATTAGCTCCACCGCTCCTGTCCGAGTGACTCAGTGTGGCATTAAAATTTCCAAGAATTATCCATGGCTCGGTAATTGACGAGGCAAGTTGGCGAAGATGACGCCAAAGTCGTTTACGCTTAGAGGGGTTGGGGCTAGCGTAAACAAAAGAAGCCAATATTGAGTTGTGGGTATTCTTGCAAGTGATCTAACGGTGAATGAACTGAAAGTGGGTAGCAATTATCTCCACCTGAGCCAAATGAAACCAGCAGATCTATATACCACCAGAGAATATGGAAGCTTCGACTCAGTGCGAATAAGGAAAGCCAATGTTGCGTATAACCACATCCGCTTGTGAGCCACTAACTCTTATCTCAAGGAAGGCGGTCACATCATGCTAGTGTTCTCGAAGATACCGACTCATAGTTTGGGTGAATTTTGGGGGAAGTTATGCCGTATGTAGTTTTAATATATGATTAAATAAAGACATTATCGAAAATGTTATTATTTTTAATATTTTTAATAAAAAATTGTCTAAAATATTATTTTTTTTTACTTAAAACATTAATATTTTTTAATATTTTCGATAAAGTGTCCAATATTAACATTTCTGGTAGAAAACAAATAATGTTTTAGGTAGTTTTTTACTAAATATATTAACAAACCCAGTAAATCGTCCAATAATAACATTTTCGGTAGAAATAATAATGTTTTAGGTAAATAAAATTTATCGGAAATGTTAAAAAAATAACATTTCTGATAACGTCTTTCTTTAGTCGTATATTAGACTACCGCATGTGAGACTTCCCCTGAATTTTGGGTGTCCGCACCCCTAGACATTCCAGAAAAAAAAACTTCTAAATTCAGAGAGGCAATCTGAAAGAAAAGGGGAGTTTACATTATTCGAGCATGACAACCACTTGCTCACTCACAATCTCAGGTCTTTGGACCATTTTATCAACGTGATTTTAAGAAACGAGGTTAAAGTATCATGAGGTGGGTCAAGTAAGTCCGATGGGTTGGAATAGTGGATAGGAACTGCGTAATACTCTTAACCGTATATGTCTCGTAATAAGAGCTAAAGATGTCACATCAACTCAACTGATATTTTTTTTGATAAATTAAATTTTTTTATTAACCAAAGAAGCAGAGTCTGCTACAAAATCAAATAAATGTTATCAAATCGAATCCGATCAAAAAAAAAAAAACCAAAAACCAATCTTAAAAAATCGATTCCTAAAAAAACCTAAACCAATAAAAACCAAGCTGAGCCGATAGATGGCGTGCCCACGCCTTAGCTAAAGACTTCTTCTGCGTTTGTTCATGATGAATAAGCCGTGCCCACGCCTTATGCGATAGCCTCTTATGGTATTGCCCATGAATTACAGAGAGTAAAATTAACACTTTCTAGTCTAGTGATATTTTTTCCTTTTAATTGTATACCTACGATATCCTTAATATTAAGAAGATCTTCAGTTGCTCGGGAACAACCTTGGAACATTCTTCGATTCCTTTCCTTCCACAAGGTATAAATAAAAGCGCACCAAGCAACCTTCAAAATAGTTGTGAGAAGGGATTTACCTTTCCAAACACCACTTGACCATGTTACCATTTCATCCCAAGATGATGTAGTTCTTCTAAACCCATTAAGAATCATTATAGAATCCCATAAAGAAACAACCAATGGGCAGTGGAAGAATAAATGATCCCGTTTTTCCATTGCAGTGCTGCAGAAAACACAATTACCTTCAGTAATGATTCCCATTCTTTGAAGTATGTCTCTTGTTGGAAGTCTGTCCAAGTGTGCCTTCCAAACTATCAAGCTATGTTTGGGAATGTGAAGAGGGAACCAAATCAATCTCTACCATTGAACTTTTTCCCCTTTCTTCCGAATATCTTCCCAGATGTCTCTAATATGTGTAACACCAGAAGAAATTATGGGATGAGCTTTAGTCCGTAATTTTAATAATCTGTTAAAGCACCAGCTTTCATTAGGTCGAATTTGCAGGTTCCAAAAGTCTGTCTCCTTCAAAACATATTATTTTAACCAAGCAACCCATAATGAGCCTTCGCCCAAGAGAATTTTCCTAATAAGGTGCACAAGACAAGCTTTGTTCCAGGATTTAGTATTCTTCAATCCTAGCCCTCATTCTGACTTTGATTGACATACTTTCTCCCAACTTATCCTAGCTCCAGAAGCAGCTTTATCTGTTCCTTTCCAGAAAATCGAGAACATAGTTGGTTTAAGATAGATTGGGGAAGGATTAGCTGTATACACCAATAATTCGCCACACTGAATAGAACATAACGAATGAGTTCAAGTCTGCCCGTATAACTCAGAGTCTTTCCTGTCCAATGATGAAGTATTGCTTTAATTTTCTTAATTAGAATATCGCAGTCCTTCTCTAAGAGCTTTCGAGTGACTAATGGAACTCCTAAGTACCTCACAGGCAAGGTACCATATTTGAATCCATAAATCTGCTTAATATCATCTAAAGTTCTTGAAGAGATTCCAGCAGCAAAAATTTCACTTTTGGATGAATTGAGTTTGAGACCAGACATATCATAGAATTGATCTAAAACACTAATGACTCCAACTATAGAATCCACATTTCCTTTGCAGAAAATTAACAAATCATCAGCAAATGTTAAGTGTGTAAGACCAATCTTCTTGCATTTAGGGTGAAAACCGAACATACCTCTTGCAGCTACCAAGTTGAGCATTCTGGATAACACATTCATGGTAAGGACAAATAAGAAGGGTGGAAGAGGGTCAACCTGTCTTATTCCTCTAGCTCCCTTGAAATAGCCAATAAGACTTCCATTAAACGAAATTGAGTACCTAGCTTGAGTAAAACAAGCTTTAATCCAACCAATGAAACTCCTAGGAAGTTCAAAAGCTTTAAGAATATATAAGATGAACCCCTAGTGAAGGGAATCAAAAGCATTGTGGAGATCTATTTTCAAGGAGAACAATGGGGAGATATTTTTCCTTCCATAGCCTTTTACCATTTCCTGGGCAAGGAGAGTATTTTCGACTATGCTCATTCCTTTAATAAAAGCTGTCTGGTTCAGTGATATCATGTCAGGAAGGAAATTAGTCAATCTTGTAACCAGAATCTTGGTAATAGTCTTGTAGATCACTGAGCAACAAGAAATTGGTCGAAAGTCTTTGACTGATTTTGGGTTTGAAACTTTAGGAACCAAAGATAGGATAGTAGCATTAAAAGCAGGTAGCATGTGAGAATTGAGGAAAAAGTATTGGACATCAACCAACTCTTCATCACCAATAATAGGCCATGTTTTCTTGAAAAATAGGGGGTGAAGCCATCAGCACCAGGAGCTTTATCGTTTCCTTGGCTAAAAATGGTTTCCTTAATCTCTTCTTTTGTTACTTCCTTAACTAGACTGGAAGATGCTTCTGCAGGCAAAGAGTATAGGAGAAAATCTTTCAGAATAAGAGGATTGATATCTCTGACCCTAGGATCAGCAGTACCGAGCAGGTTGGAGAAGAAATCAGTAACTTCAGCTGCCATTTCATCAAATGTTTCAAGTCTGTTACCTTGATCATTTACAAGAACCCGAATGGTATCTCTTTTATTCTTAATTGTAACCCGCGAGTGAAAGAATTTAGAACATTTATCTCCTTCCTTAAGTCATTGCACTTTGGCTTTTTGTTTGAGAAATATTACCTCTACATCTTCAAGAGTGTTTAGCTCAGATTGTAAGATTTGCTCTTTTTCAATAACATCCTCTCCTTTTAAAGTAAGAAGTTGTTGAAGCTCCAACTCACTTATCTTTTGTCTGACTTAAGCCGAGAGATCGTTGAATTTATCTTTATTTAAGTTCCTTAGGCATAATTTGAGTCTCTTTAATTTAGTAAAGAGAATTCTCATTCGGTTGCTTTGAACACAATCTTGCCATGATTGCTTAACCTCGTTCATGAAGCTCGGGTGAAGGGTCCAAAAGTTAAAGAATTTAAATGGTTTCGGTCTATTACATGGAATCTCCTTGGAAAGCCAAACAATGGCCATGCAATGATCAGAGATGCCTGGAGTAGTGAATTCAACAAATGATTGATGAAATGAACTAAACCAATAGGGATTGATCAGGACTCTATCAAGTTTTCTTGCCAGAAAATTTTCCTGCTACTTGTTGCTCCATATGAATGAAGGCCCAAAATAAGGATGATCTTGAAGGTCAAGCTCTTGAGTGATGTCTTGGAAATCTCTCATATCAGAAGTAAGGTAAGGGCTAATTAAATCATGATCCGAACTTTCATAAGAGTGAAGAATAATATTTTAGTCCCCTCCTAATATCCAAAGGGAATGTTGAATATTTATTTCCATATCACGAAGTTGGTTCCATAATTGTCTTCTAACTGTGCCTTCATTGCTTCCATAAAAAGCCGAGATGAATAGAAGAGTATCAAGATAGGAACCTTTGACAGTAATACTATGATCGGTAACTTGGATGATAGAAAAATCAATTCATTTCCTCCATAGCACCCAAATACTCCCATTCGATGCATAATCATATTTTGTACAAACACTCCAATTAGAAAATTTTGACTTGAGAATAACCTCTGACTTATCTAATTTGACTATGGTCTCCATTAAACATAAAATAT